TTTCCATGGAAAACAGCATTTAGTTACTTAATTCTATGCCTTAAATTAGAAAAACTTCCGTTCCCGAAAACATGAAATCAAATGATATGTGCACAATATAAAAATCACTGACACAAGTTTAACTTTCTGTTCCCCAGTACCCCCTCCACAAACACACGTGCACACATGCGCCCCCACACACAATTGAACTGAGCGTGGTTACGTTTTCCATTTTCTCTTTGTTAGTTACACATTCACTTAATTGTCTTATGGCAGGTGACAGGCTATTCGAGGTGTAACTTAGAGAATTTTTTTTCCCTGCTCATTTAGAAAAGTTCAGATTATTTCATTTTAGCAGCACGCTGCCCACTGATAAGGAGTTCAGAACACTTGGGGCAATCCTGAGGGCAGCAGGAAATTCACAGCACGTTTCTGGCACTTTTTTTCCCCTGGAGAATAAAGCCCCCTCATTGTTTGTAGATGTGTTAGATAGGGTTCCTTGCGCAATCTGTGGATAGATATAGGCAGATCTTATTGCCTCCACACGATATAGCGATACAGCTGCTTTATAGTTTATTTTTTTAGAGTCGTAGTCTCACTGTCACCCAGGCTGGAGTGCAGTGGCGCACTCTAGAATCCCTGTGCTCGAGTGATCCTCCTGCCTCAGCCTCCTGAGTATAGCCGAGGTTACAAGTGTGAGTTACTGCACCCAGGTAATTAAAACAACAGTGTTTTAGAGGCAGGGTCTCGCTTGTTGCCCAAGCTGATCTTAAACTACTGGTTTCAAGCAATCCTCCTACCTCTGCTTCCTGTGTAGGTGTGACTGCAGGCCTGGGCCATTGCACCTGGCTCCTGTTTTGTAAATTATTCACAGCAAATGTGTTGGTACCTTGCTGACCCATCCACTGGGAGGTGTTACACTGGTTTAGCCCATCACATGGGTCTTGGCATCAGACATTCCTTTGCAGCTTTCTCACGGGCCTGCCCCTCCACCTGGGGCAGTTACCTTGCCTACCTCCCAGCACCCTCATCCGTAAGGCTGGCACGTTCATAGTGCCTACTTCACAGGGCTCCTGCGAGGATTAAAGAAGATCACTTACAAAATGATTGGAATAGCATCAGGCACAAAGTAAACGTTCATTAAATGTTAATGATTGCTATGAATAATATCAGCAGTGAGCTGACTCATGTATCTTAATGACTGTTGTCTGGAAGCCAAAAATGGTATTTTTAAAAGTTCTGCAAAGTCCAAGTGAATAGGTTGGGAGTTAGCCCTTGTTCTGAATGTTGTATGCCCTGGGTTTCTCTGTGTGCTCAGAATCTGAAAGAGGGCTAACCTCAGGGCAGTTGTCCATGAGATGAACCCCAACTTGCTTCGCCTTCCTCCTTGAACACATCTAACACCGAAAACCCTGTTTCAGGCGATCTGGGTGTCCACAGTGGGGAAGAACTCCAGCTCACCACCACTATCACCCATGTGGACGGACCCACTGAGATCTACAAGTTGACCCGCAAGGAGGCCCAGGAGTAGGAGGCTGCAGCGCCCGGCTGGGACGGCCTCTCCACACCCCAGCTCCTCTAACTAGAGCGGGGAGCATGCCAGAGAGAGCTCAATGTATAAACGAATGCCTCGTGGCTCTTAGCTGTGGTTTCTTGGACCAGCGGCATGGACATTTGTCAGTTTGCCTTCTGACGGTAGCTTTTGGAGGAAGATTCCTGCAGCCACTAATGCATTATGTATGATAACAAAAACTCTGGTATGACACATTTTCTGTGATCTTTGTTAATTAGTGACATAGTAACATCTGTAGCAGGAGGTTAGTAAACCTCATGTGGTGGGTGGGGGGGCGGTGTATTCCTTGGGGGATGGTTTGGGCTGAATGGGGAGTGGAATATTTGACATTTTTCCTGTTTTAAATTCTAGGATAGATTTTAACATCCTTTGCAGTCCCAGTCCAAGGTAGGCTGGTGTCATAGTCTTCTCACTCCTAACCCATGACCACTGTTGTTTTCCTATTTATGTCACCAGGTAGCCTACTGAGTTAATATTTAAGTCGTCAGTAGATATGTGTCCCTATTTTTGTGGCATAGTATAAAATAACTGCATTTCATGAGAAGATCTATTCCACCAGGGATATTTCAGCTTTGAAACCAAATCTGTGTATCTAATACTGACCAGTCTGCTGGATGTGGGTTTTAAAAAATGTTTGCTAAACTACCCAAGTAGGATTTATTGTATTAAATGGCCTTTGGGTCTGAAAAGCTTTTTTAACCTCTTGCTTAAAACGTGTTTTATTTTGATAAGATACATCAAAAAGCCTCCAAAAGTATAGGTCCAATCATTTAAATAAACCTGTATATATATGCGGATGTGTATATGCATAGCCCCTCCTGCTGAAACTCACACATGCATGCAGAATATTTTCCAGGTTGCACCTAGGCGTGGGAGTTGATGGGGGAAATAGGTTTATGAAAACCCGAAATACTTTAACATCAAATCGAAGTGTTTGGGGATAATATGTATTTCTGGAGAAAGGGTCACATTTTCTGTCCTGTGTAGTTCGCCTCTTTAGGCTGGCGATGGATGCTTATATGTGTGACAATAAAGGCGGGAAACCATCATGCGCTTTAGAAGCAGAACCATCCCCTGCCTTATTCAGACCTCCCCCAGTAGCCTTTTTCATTGTCTTTTAACACTTGCACTGCAGGTAGTGGAGAGAAGGAACACCGTTTCCTGTTGAAGGTCTGTGATTTACCCCTGACCTGGCTGTTTCCTCACTTACATTCATAAACTTTAACTGCTTACTGGGGTCACAGTGAAAATTTCAATCAGTTCATGTATATGGAAGTGTTTTATGAACAATAAGCCATATAAATGTGTTTTTCTTGGAGTCTAAAACGAGTTTCATGAGCATCTTGTTTTTCAGACACTGAGTCTGGAGGTCTGGGGTACAGTCCATGTAATTCACCACTCAGCACCCCCAGCCTTTCCTTTTCCTGATACTGGCTTAAAGCACGGTAAGCAGTGACAGTAGGAAATACTTGACTTTGGCTCTTCTCTGTAGGCCTTTTCCTGACCTGGCAGACACTGGATGATGTACAGTCCTGCACACTTAACATCCATTTACCAACAACCACAGCAGTGCCAGGAATCAGATGGAGCCAGGCCTCCCAGTCTAGCAGGGAACTCCTGTCCCAGAAGAGGGAGGGAATGTTTCTCTATCCCCTAGCTTAGGAAAAGGACCGGAGATGGGCCTTAAAGAAGAGAGATTTTGCCAGAGCCAAAGGGAGAAGGGATCAACTGTACAAAAATCACGGAAGATGCAAAGCATGGGCAGTGTTTGGATGAGGTCAGCCATCAGGCCTGGCTGGCACTTAGGAATGGAAATAGCAGATGATGAGCCCTGTGCACCCAAGAGCCAGACAGACAAAGGTTTTTAATGCCGTGGTAAAAGTTACAGACTTTGCCTCAAATGTTAGGCAGAGAAGTGATATGATCAGAATGACCACTGGAGCCTGGAGAGGCTGGACAGGCCCAGAAAAGATCATAGAGACCGGAACCAGGGCAGTAGAAGAGGACTTGGAGGAGAGGATTATTTTGGAGACAAAACGCACAAGGTGTGAATGTTCTGGATGTGGGTTGCACAGAAAGTCAGAGTCAAATTTCAAGCCCTCACTGGGGAAGGGCATGGTGGGGTTTCAGACAGAATGAGAAATTGTTGGGTGACAAGTGTCAGTGGACCCACTACTTAAAGTTCTCTAAGTAGGAGCCAACTGTAGCAAACTTAGGTAAAAGAGACTTTCCTGGCATATATGAACTTTCCTAGCATGTATGAAAGATCCGTGGAAGAGCTGAATTAACCAGAAAGATGGGAAGTGGGGCAGCTCTAAGGGGCCCCAGCACCAGGAACCCATGCACCTTTCTCTTACAGAGCAGTGCATTCACTACTGAGTCTTTATCCAGTTCTTTGTCTCTGTCACTTAAATACTAGGAGCCTTAGGCAGGTGGCTATCCCTGTGCCAGTCAACTGTAACCAGGAAGTCAGGTCAAATGACTGCTCGGGGCCCAACCCTAAAGATCGGTATTCATCCTCAAAGAAAGGAGAGCCCATTTTGAATGGGGCAAACAATCAGAAAAGATCTAGCACAATGGGCAAGATGATGAGTTTGGGTTTGCCTGGGCTGGGTTTTAAAAGCCTTGGAGGTCTCTTGGAGGAAATGATGAGCTGACAGTTAGAACTGAGGTGTCCAGCAGATTTGGCAGCCGCCACCCTTGAGAAGGAGAAGCATAGCTGGGCAGAGCAGCAAAGCATCGAGCCGATGACCACCAAGAGTGGTGAGCCAGACACGGCCGTATTCGATAGAAAAGGGGAAGAAGATAAGGTAGATGAGTCAGAGAAATGTGCGGTTTCAAAGAAAGAACCAGATTCAGGAGGAAAAAAGAAGAAAAAACGGTGTTAGATGTGCTGAGAGGTTCCGCGGCGTTTAGGGATCCAGGACTCTTGGATTTGGTGGTTTGGATGTGTGTGACCTCAAGTGGCGAGGGCGGAAGGTGGACAGAGAGGTGGAGCAGAGTCAATGGGCATTTGTGATGGGAAGGAAGGAGGCAGGATGCTTGCTCCAACAAGAGCCAAAGTAAAGTGGAGGCTTGTGATTTTAGTCCACAGAGAAGTGAACTACGTTTGTAAACCTGAAGGGTGAGAGGCAGCCGTGAAGGAAAGATGCAGGAGCTCATGTAAGCCAGAAAAACACCAGCGTTTTGGGACCAAAAGTACAAGTTGATGAGTTAGCACTGAAGTAGTAAAAGGACATTTTCATCCTGAGACAGGAGAGAAATAACAGATGGACAGGGGAGGAGAAACTTGAGGTGCAGAGAGGGGTTGCAGTATGTCCTCAGGGTGTTCCGTCTTCTCTGCCAATGTGGGGTGGGTGCTGGAGTTGCACTAAAGAAGTCTCAGTTTCAAGAATACAAGTTGGGGGCAACCCATTTCAGTCAGCGGAAAGAGAGGTGGAAACTCCAGAGGTGAGAAAATGCTTTTATTAAGGACCATCAACCTAGAGAAAAAAATTGTTATTGGCCATGAACACCAGTTGTATACACTGTCATAATAAACACGTTTCATGCTTTAAAGGACATTATAGGAAAAATGTATAAAATTTTCCAGGTGTCTGTTTTTAAAAAGTAAGAAAGTTCACCAGTACATACAACAAACAAGTGAAATGCAATTGTTATATCAAATAGAAAACAAAATCAGTTTTATGTTGGTTATCCCATTGGGTTTTCACTATGCATTGTTCCTACAAGAAAATATCCATCGTAATGAAATAAGTGGTTCCACATATGACTGCCAAGGGTAGTTTTAACCATTTCTCAGAACTGAGATAACGCTCTCTAGCAATTCTGATGCCTAAGTTCAGCCTATAATCTCAGAGCTGTTAGAGCCCTTGGAATTCACACCCCTGGGGTCCCAGGAGGTGACTTTGAAAAGTTTAAGAGAAATGTGAGGGGAGGCTGGGGGACCTCCCAGTATTCACAGGGTAGTGGCCACACCCTGGTCTTGGGTCTCATCCTCAACTTGGCACTTCTAGATACTATATTTTATCTACTCTTTCAAATTGAATCAGGCTCCCAAAGTCTGAATGGTCACATTGGGGAATCTATAAACTAGAATTCCTGTGTGATCTTTTACAGTAAGGAATGCACATATCTGGTGGCTCCATTCATCATGTTAGACTTCCTGCCTTCCTATTTGCAGGTAACCATGGAGGTTAAAAGAGGAAATAGAAGGTTTTTGGTAGACAAGGAATAAATGCGCAGAGAAATTTGTATCCTTGGAAGAGATAATGTCCTAACCCTGTGCCTCCACAGAAAAATGTACACAGCTCCCTAAAAAGTGCCTAGCGTAGTGTGGGAATTCAATCGGGATAGTTGGTGAGTGAGCAAGTGAACACCCTTGACTAATCCCCATCTCTCTCTGCTGCGTGACCCTGAATTACTTGGAACCCGTCTTCTTGAGTCAAGCCGACTCATCAGGATGTCAGTGCAGTTGGTCAGGCTCAACTTGCTGGTATGTTGTCCAGACATTCATGAGCCTGTACTTTGTCTTCTGTATTTCAAGGTCCCATTTCCTGTAGTGCTCCGGGAACCTCTCACTTCTGCAGGCTCTCTCTCCATTGCGTTTTGATACATGATTTTGTTGTATAGAGATAACTTGGTTTCTCAGATAACATCTGCAGCCCCTTTTCCACTGACATCGAGGGGCCTTCTAAGCATGTCTTGAAGTGTTCAGAATGTTCTGTCTCCTGTGACAACACTGACCTCTCAGAAAAGAATTCCTTTGCTATTGAGACCAGACTTTTTCTTTGTGGCTTTTACTTATTTGGATTGATGGAATCCCTTTTTGTAGGGCCTGCCCCACTCAAGTCTTCCCTTCCCCTCCCCAGGCTCAGCATCTCAGTTCCTGAACCCCATCTCCAGACATGGTTTCTAGAAGGTTCTCCCATTACAACTTACCTGTTAACTGCATCCTAGCTTCCCAGTGTTCCAAAATATGATAATCAGATGGCAGGACTGCTCCAGCTGGCACAGATTAGTGTGAAAATGTCCCTTCCTGTGCTAGGGCTTGATGTCCTAGGAAAATGGTACAGGATTTAAAAAAAAAATACTTCTCACTTTTTTCCTTCTCATGACCAAGTAACCAGTAAAATCCTTAGTTTTAAAAATTGGTATTACCAATACCTTCTCTGTATTCAGCTATAGTTTTAACTTAATGGTAGAACTTTACATATATCCCTGTTACATTTTACTTTTCTCATACACACAGGTTAAGGGACGTCTTTAGCTTTTAAAAAAGTACAGTTTGAAACAGAAGTAAAAGTGGTTAAGTCTTTTCCGAGTACAAAGTGGATTCGTTTCAATTGCTGGAGAATTTACAAATATATATATTCACCTGAGACCAGAAAAACCTCCTTTGGCCAAGACCTCTCTCCTTTGTCCAGCTCTCTCCATCATGAGCATACACACACACACACACACACACACACACACACACACACACACAGAATTTAGCAGCAGGGATGTGTGTTGTAATATGTAGCTTTGTAAATTACATATTTCCCCCTAATGCCACATTCTCAGTCACAGAGTAGAGATCTTTCTTTCTTTCTTTCTTTCTTTCTTTCTTTCTTTCCTTTTCTTTTCTTTCTTTTCTTTCTTTCTTTTCTCTCTTTCTCTCTTTCTCTCTCTCCTCTCTCTCTCTCTTTGTCTCTTTCTCTCTTTCTTTCTTTCTTTCTTTCTTGAGTTTTGCCCTTGTTGCCCAGCCTGGAATGCAGTGCCATGATCTTGGCTCACTACAACCTCCGCCTCCCAAGTTCAAGCAATTCTCCTGCCTCAGCCTCCTGAGTAGCTGGGATTACAGGCATGCACCAACATGCCCGGCTAATTTTGTATTTTAAGTAGAGACAGGGTTTCACCATGTTGGACAGGCTGGTTTCGAACTCCTGACCTCAAGTGATCCACCCGCCTTGGCCTCCCAAAGTGCTGGGTTTACAGGCATGAGCCACCATTTCAAACCCAGAGTAGAGATCTTACTTCATGAGTAAAGAAGTCAGACTCAGAGGTGAAGTGACCTATGCAAGGTCACCTATCACAGTGCCAGGGTTGGAACTAAAAGAACTTCAGCCTCTGAACTTCAGTGTCTTTTCAGTAGCATATTCACAGCAGAAGAGAAAAGAATGTTGTGAGCTGCAACTCTCACTAGAATCGAATGACCTTATTGGGAGATGTTAGTCCAGCCTTAAAAACAAGCTCTTCACCTCCATGAATGGCAAGTGTCTGCCCTCTTCTGGCCAAATCGAGAATGACATCCATCACTGAGCAAATCCTCAGAACACAAGTCAGACCTTGGGTTACTGCTTTTCAGTTAAGTTCTGGTCCTGGCTCTGCCTCTAACTCTTGCTCTGGGACCCTCAGGAAGCCTACTCATCTCCTCTACCCCACCTGAAGGAGATGATTTCTGAAGTCCTCAGCAGCCCTGATTCTAAGCCTCATAAAGGAGAGTAGGTGTTAATGGCATCCTGTGGCAGTGGTAGGCACTTGATGCCGGTCAGCTGTGAGCAATGTGCTGGCATCGCAGGGTTGGTTTGTTGATTTCATTTATTATTTGCACAACCCCTTCTCATAACTTACATCTTTGCCTCTTCTGAGGCTCTAAGCTCCCCAGAGTGGCTCCTGTGTCCAGAAACCCTTTGGTCTTCCCTCCCAGTTAAGTCAGATCTCTCTTCAGCTCAGGGATGCTGAGAGATTGAAAGTGAACTACAGACAGGAACAGCCACGACAGGAGCTCTTTCCACAGGACCGTGCTTGGCTAACTTTCTTTACACAGAGTGAGCAGAATTTTAAAAACGGCATTTGTGCCTTTTAGTCTGGGCTCCTCCTAAAAGCAGACTCTGGGACAAGGATTTGTGTGCAAGTAGCTGGCTTAAAAGGTGACGCCAGGAAGCACTGAGGTGGCATGGAGAAGTGAGGCTGAGAAGAAGGGAACACAAAGAACAGCCACCAAGGTCCTCTGCCAGGAGCTTCTGCCAAGCTGTGAGGAACACGCTGCCGAGTTGCCCCTGGGGTGGAGGCAGCTGTGAGAGAGAGCCACTCACTCCCACCCTTTGAAGGTAGAGAGCCATCCCCAGGCGCTTAGCTGCTTGGAACTAGGGCCAGCTTGAGGAATACGGGTGAGGCATCCATTGCCTCTGCTACACTGTTTTTAATCCAGTCTCAAAACCAAAATGGTCTTATTGCAGAAACGTTGCAAAAATACATTAAAGAGTAAAGAAAAACTTGTAAACTTTTTACAACTACTCTATCCAAAGATAAATACTGTTCAAATGTCAGTATGCTCTTACACAAGTTATTCCATACACATATGCAGATTTATATAAATTAAGATTGTATTATACATAGAAAATGAATTTCTAGACAGGAATTAGGAATTATATATCCATATATTTATATAATTATATATACATATATAATATATACATATCTATAAAATATAATATATAATTATATATATATACATATATATAATTCCTGCCCTTTTCACAGTATATTATATCTAGGAAATCTTTGTATGTTATTATGTTGTCTTCTCTAACATGATTTTAATGACTTTACTATTATCATGCCTATTAAGGATGTGTCACAATTTTTACTAATCCCCTATTACTGGACATTTCAGTGGTTTGCAAAGTTCATCTACAATATATATTGAAATGAACATCCTTGGATATAAATGTTTTTTGGACATCACTCATTGTTGCCTTAGTATCAGTTCCTAAGAGTTACCGGGTTAAAGATCAATTATTCATTCAATAAGCATATGTTGAACATCTAATTTGGGGCTGGGTGCTATT